CGACTGGGAACAGACAAGACATGTTTGCATGCAAAGGCAGGTTCCATCAATAAGTTGACTGTGTGATTTCTGTGTTTGAAAGAGGGATTTTTAACACTAGACATTCATTAACTAAGAGCAACATTCATCTGGAGTTTGTAGCACTTAAGAGGAATGTAAACAAGATGCTCACCTCTCCTTACTACTAAGCTCTTGTGATAAGTCTCCTTTTAATAAGCACTATATGTTGTCGGCCATATAATATGTAATATCTTGGTTTCGTGAAGATGAACTCAATATAGTTCGTGTTTACATGTGCTCCAACAGCTATGCATACGGCTCCTAACCAGTCTCTGTCGTCAAATGGGTGTGTGTGAAGGGCCAATGCAACTTGGAATGTGGACTCAGGTTACTGATTCACACACTGGGTGGTGTGTGGAACAGCACAGCGTGGGTGAAGTTTTTGTATGGTGTTGAGCAGGTAGTGTTAAAACAGAAAGCTAAGTAATGCTAATTCACTTACAGCAGTTTGATAAATAAGGGCTCTGGTCTGAGTGTTTAATTATTGGTAGTTTCAGGCCTTTGGAAATGACACCAGTAGGATTTGGGAAAACTAATGATGACTTGCACACTCCTATCAGCCAGTGAACTCTTGGTCACCCATTACATGCATTACACTGCTGGTGAGGCACGTGGGCCGAAAAGAGAGGAGCCACGTGCCTCTTCGGATTCTTTCTCCCTCGATCCGATTCGCTCTCCTCTTCCATCTTTCTCCCTCTGACACACACAGAAAACATACTGGAGACATTAATGGGTCCACACCAGGAGAAGAAAAAAATACATAGTCATAAGATATAAAAGGAAATGAGGAGAGGAGGGACTCGTACAAGAGGGGTTGAAGGATTAAGTGCTATTAGAGTACAAATGATAGAAAGTGAGTATAAAATGATCACATCAGTCCTTGGAAAAGTCTTAGATGACTTCAATAAAAAACCTGACGTGTGCCGTAACTTGTTAGCCTGAGAGACATGATCTTTATAGCGAAACCTTCCAAAACAGCTGCTGAATAAAAGTCTTACTTGTAAATAAGGTCACATTCAGAGGTACCTGCTTGCCAGTAGCAAACAAATGCAGTGATGGGAAACTATTTCATGCTGCACAGGTACAAGAGATAAACTCCATGGTTTCTGTCCAGTGTTTCACAGCCAGCTGGTGAGGTCCAGGGATGCACTTCCCGCTAAACCCTGTCATTTATCTTCTCATAAATCAGTCGACTTTTATAAGACACTTAACAAGAGTCTGCACAGACAAGAGGGAATGAGCTGCAGACTTATTGAGATATCAAATAACACCTCTGCAGCCTTATCAGTATAATTACATGCTGTTGTTGACGATGAGACAGGAGGACAGGAAAAAATCAGTTCTCTTAAAGAATCCTGTAACTTATTTAGAGCGGGAATTACGTGGAAGTGTCTGTCCAAAGAGCAGGACACATATGCAATCAGGCATTTATACTGTGTCCTGTGTCAATTCACATTCAATCACACTTGGAGTTTCTCCAAGATACACTGATTACTAGACTTGAGATATGAGCTCTCTCTCTCTCTCTCTC